GCCTCGCTCCCTCCTGCTCATTTTCCCCTGCGAGCAGGAGCCCTTCGCCTCTTCCATACCCCGGCCTGGCCCAACGCACACTTGTTGAATGAATGCATGTTGATGAACGAGTGAGTGGATGAATGGTTTCCATTTTAAAAGCCATCCTGTGAAAAATATAGGAAAATATAAATGAGAAGAAAAACCTCTGCGAAATGACCCCACCCTGAGGCAAGCAACAGTTAACCATTTTTTGCCCTGGCCAGTGCTGCTCAGTGGTTAGAGCGCCGGCCCGCGGACTGAAGGGTCCCAGGTTCAAGTCCAGTCAAGAGCGCTACCTCAGTTGCGGGCTCGATCCCTGGCCCCGGTCAGGGCTCACGAGGAGGCAACCCATCGATGTGTCTCTCTCACATCATCACACTGAGAGAGAAACATCACGTCGATGTTTCTCTCCCTCTCCCTTCACTCTCTCTGAAAAAACAATGGAAAAAATATCCTCAGGTGAGCATTTAAAAAAAGACCTTGCCAACAACAAATTAAAAAAATTTTCAAAAAATACAGTTAACAGTTTTTTTTAACTTAACATTTTGACTTATTTCTTGCCAATATTTTTCATCTACCCCCTCGGTCTTTTTTCCATGCATAGTCTTTACGCAACGGGTGTCATTTCTACTTAGAATTTCATACCTCGCTCTTTTCATCTCACGTATAGCTGAAGCATTCCCCCATGTCGTTGAGCACCCATTATAAATGTCATTTTAGGGTCCGCGTAACATTCCTTTTCATATATCTGCCATGATTTACTAAATGCCATCATGAATGATGCCGTGAGTGTTTTATAGATAAAATGTTGTTTTCATTGGGATTATGTACTTTGAATAGATGCCCAGATGTGGAATGTCCATATTAGGGAGTACAAACATGTATAGGGCTCTCAGTACCTATTGCTGAGTGTTTCATCATTTGACATTTGGTGGAGAATTTTTCTAACATGATGTAGATCCCAGAGAGCACAGCCAGAATCTAATACCAGTACAGGTCCCACATGCTCACTCATTTGGGGTTTTGGAAAGGACCATTTCTCACTCTGTTGGGGGCACTGTAAATTGGCACAACTTTTTCAAAGAGCATTTTGGCGACAAGTGTCAAACGCTTTCAAAAGGGCTATGTTCTCTAAGTCAGGATTTTACAAGAGCTACTTAAAGCTGCATTATTTATATTTGTGAAAAAATAGAAACAACATAAATGTTCAATAGTAGGGGAGTTGTAAGACAAATTATACTATCCACTCAATGGAAAATTGGGGAGCAATTAAAAATTATGGTAATGAAGACTATGCAGCAACATGGAAGATGCTTGTGGTGCAGAGGCTTTTGTTTTCTCAAATCTTAAGGTCAATTTAGACAAAAGAAAAATTTGATATTAGAGTGAGTGTTACCCAACGTGAAAGTTTCCTCGTGTTGCAGACATTTTGGAAAACTTCCTTTGAGGCCGCTCGATCATCCACTGAGCAGCAACACTCTAGCAGTCTTACCCATTCCGCTTCTGGTGGACACCTAGATTGCTAACTAGCCTTCCTTTTTATAAACATCACTGCAATGAACATCTTTATGTATGGAACTCAGTCCATATAAATAAACGTTTTGAGAAAACGCTCTCTTACATCCTGATTAGAGAGAGAAAACTGAGTGATGTGAAATAATATTAAATGAGGACCTTCTGAACTAAGGCACACCCAGTTTTTGCAGAAGGGGAACTTGGGGGTGCCTTGAATGAGCAGGGATTACAGTATCTCTTTGCCATCTCAACACTGTTGCCCTTGTGATGCTCCCATGTCCCTTTTTCTCACCCCCAGAGAGTGCCTGCCTGGAACACCCAGCGGGCCAGCACTCGGGGGCCACCCAGTCGCAAAGGCAGCCTCAGCATGGAGGACACCTTTGAGAGCATCACTGAGCTGGGGCCTCTGGAGCTGATGGGCCGGGAGCTGGACCTGGCGCCCTACGGGACCCTCCGGAAGTCCCAGTCAGTGGACTCCGTCAACTCCATCTCCTCCGTGAGCAATAACTTTGGACAGGACTTCACGCTGGGCCAGGTAGAGGTGAGCATGGACTATGATGCCACCTCCCACACCCTCCACGTGGCCGTGCTGCAGGGGAAGGACCTCCTGGAGCGGGAGGAAGCCAGCTTCGAGTCCTGCTTCATGCGTGTCAGCCTGCTGCCCGATGAGCAGATCGTGGGCATTTCCCGGGTAAGTGGAGGCTGCAGGGCCTGGCAGAGGTGTCCTCCCAGGCAGGACGGTCGACAGAGCCAGGCAGGATCTGAGGAGGGCGCTAGAGAGTAGGGTTGGATGCTGATCCCAGAACCCAAGATAGTAACTATAGAGAGGACGGGGGGACAGCCAAGAGGCTAGTTTGGCCAACGGAAGGAGAGATGAAACCAAAGATCGTGAAGAGCCTGAATGCCAAGGTCACGATCCAGAGGTGGGCTTTCTCCTGTGGGGAAAGGAGCCCTCGATTCTCAGGCAGGCGATTGGGTGGGTAAGGTATCTCCCAGGGAGCAGCGTGAGAGGAGCCTCCCACGCCCAGGCAGTCCCCGAAGAGTGTGGTTCAGGAAACCTGGAGGTGCTGGTGGACTCATTCCCAAGAAGGCATACTTCTTATATCCCGGCTCATCCCAGCGAGTGGGCACTGCCCCCGGGCTGGGCAGCCCCCCAAGCTTCATGCGAGGTGCCAGGAAGGAGAGCTCCTGTCTTTAAATATCACCAGGCAGTGACTAAGGCAGCCCCCCCACAGAAGGGGAGCAGTGCCCGCGAGTGCACCTTCCCAGGGGCCTGCCCACAGCTTCCTAGGGGGAGGCCAGTGGCACCCACCAGGCAGCACTGGGCTTGGAAACGAAGTCAGCGCAGCCTTGCCTAGTCATTCCATCCGTCTGTCCATCCCGCAACATTCAGACAGCCCTGGGCCAGGCTCTGTGGTAGCTGGGACATCTATGGCTCTCAACTCCGCAGCAATTATCCATGCTCGCTGCACGCCTGGCCCAGGGCTGGGCTTGCACACATGTGAGCAAGACGGAGACCAGCTCAGCTAATGCATCACTAGGCTTCTGTGGAGCCACGGGCACTCAGGATGGGACCGAGTTGGGGTCAGATTGTGGAAGCTTTGAATGCCAGGCTGCTAGATTGGCCACCACTGAGGGGAGAACAGGGGGACTTTTAAATCATCAGGGCTGAGCCACCAAAAGAAGGATTGGCATTGGGGTTGTGGGGACAGCAGAGCCAGGCCTCTAGCCCAGGTCCCAGACTCCCCATCCAGTGCTCTCCCCCTGCCGGGGCCGACGGGACCCCGGCTGCCACCCCTCCCCAGCTTTGAAGCACCCTCCGTGGCCCTTTCTCTCCACAGATCCAGAGGAACGCCTACTCCGTCTTCTTCGACGAGAAGTTCTCGGTGCCCCTGGACCCTGCCGCCCTGGAGGAGAAGAGCCTGCGCTTTTCCGTGTTCGGCATTGACGAAGACGAGCGCAACGTGAGCACGGGCGCCGTGGAGCTGAGGCTGTCGGTGCTCGACCTGCCGCTGCAGCCCTTCAGCGGCTGGCTCTACCTGCAGGACCAGAACAAGGCAAGTCGGGGAGTGTCGCACGCGCACCCTTCAGAGGGGGGCCTCCCCTGTCCTCCCCAGCAACCAGAGCACCAGTATCTTCAGGAAATGAGAGGAAGGGACCGGAGCCACATGCAGGGAGACTCGGTTTACCACATGCAAGTGAAAAATGCCCTGGCCACTGTTCACCGCTCCTCTGCGGCTCCTGCCTCCAGCCCTGTAGCTCTGCTCCTATAGAGCTGCTGTGAGGGAAGCCCTCCTCTGGCCCTGACCTGAGGTATTTCCGACAGAGGCCAAGCTGAAGTTGCCTTTATAAATGTAAGAGTGCTTGGGGAGCATTATTGTTATTTAAGCAAATGATCTATTAGTTCCAGGCCACTTGGACCTCTATGTGCCACTAACACAGAATGTTTTTCCTTGGCCTAGAAGGAAGCAGCATAACTGCATTGGGAGGCTGCATTTGACAGGCAACCTCTGGCCCTCCTTCCAAGGCAGGACCCACATGGTGGGAGGGAGGAATGGTGCATGCTTGGTGGAGTGGGGAGGAGGCGGCCCTTTCCCAATCCCACCAGCCTGGTGCCCTGATATGAGGAGCCTCAAGAACAGCAGCTTCTCAGTGTAGAAGGGAGCTTCTGCTTTTCCCTGGACCTGTCAGGGGACAGTCCTCTAAGACTCCAACCTGTCCTCCAGGCCACCGACGCTGTGGGCGAGATCCTGCTGTCCCTCAGCTACCTCCCCACAGCTGAGCGCCTCACCGTGGTCGTGGTGAAGGCCAAGAATCTCATCTGGACCAACGACAAGACTACAGCGGGTAAGGCCCTGCTGGCTGCCTGGCTCCTGCATGGGTTGGTGGGAGCTGTGGCCCAGCTGCTAAGCCCTGGGCACCTGGACACATCAATAGATGTGGGACACAGTGCCAGGCTCCCCACCCCCGGCTGTGGCTGAGCTCAGGAGCTATGCACAGTGGCAAGATTAATCTAGCTAGAGAAACATGGGAACCACAGAGGGAAGCAGGGAACCAAGATGGGCACCCACTTCCCAGAACTGGAGTTCATGGTGGAGACTCCATCCTCAGAGATTGGACTGCTTTCCAGATCCCAAACCCCCAGGTAACTGAGGACAGAGGCCTGGGGGAGTCCAGCCTACTGGAGCCTGGGGGAACCCGGGGTCCAGGCAGGCACAGCAAGGATACCCAGTGGGCGGCAGGTGAGGACAGACGGAGACGTGTCATTTCTGAGCCTCGCATCGTTGAGTCAAACCCTGCTGAGTGGGTGCCGGTGACTCAGAGCTGACGTCTGCGCTCAGGCCATTTATAGAATGAAAAGTGGTGGGTCTGCCAAGTCCCCTGAGTATCGTGTGAGGGGAGCATGCTTCTGGCTGGGAGGCTCGCTGCCTGGGTCCAAAGCCCAGCTGTTCTCAGCATGTGAGCCCCAGTTTTCTCATTTGTCAAATAGGAAAGAAAGAAAGGACCAATGGCAGGACTGCAGGAGATAGTGGCCGTAGTGAAGGTCTAGACAGGTTAGAGCCAGTGGGCCACTGGCATGGGCAGGGCTGTGCCGTGTAAGTGTGGCGCTGGCCCTCACCTCCAACCCTCGCCACCCAGACCCCTACGTCAAGGTGTACCTGCTGCAGGAGGGGAGAAAAATGAGCAAAAAGAGGACAGCTGTGAAGAGGGACGACCCCAACCCGGTGTTCAACGAGGCCATGATCTTCTCAGTGCCGGCCATCGCCCTCCAGGTGAGGGGGGATCGGCGCAGGTGGGGGCGGGGCCGGGCCACCCCTGCCACTCTGGGCCACTTCATCCCTTCTCAGGGCTCCTGCAGGTGCTGATGGTTGGCCTCAAGCCATGTAGTCAAGAAGCATTTATTAAGCACCCACTAGATACCAGTCCTATGGGGGGTGCTGGGGACACAGGCACTGCTTCCTTGGCGCTTACAGGGGACAGGCAGGAAGGTCTCCAGGCAATCCTAACCGCCTAAGAGCACTCCAGGTGTGTGTGGCCAGGGGTGTCTTCTACAGGAGGGCTTAGCTCAGCTGACATCCGGGGGAAGACAGTTCCTGGTGGAGTTCAGCCCTAAATCTCCCGAGGTTCTACTGCAGAGGCTCTGCTGAGCTCCCTACACCCCCACGGCCTTCAGGAGGTTACCCCCTCCCAGCACAGATATCACAGACCAAGGGTAGGGGGACTGCAGAAGATATGGCCTGGGCCATGCCAGTGGTCCTGCATGCATGCCTCAGAGGACAGAGAACTCACCACCTCCCCTCACTACCACCTTCCATCCTGGGGTATTCCTGACCGTGAGAATGTCTTTTTGTGCTATGAGCCAAAAGCTGCCTCTTAGCCCAGGGGCTGCACAGAAACCCATGAATCTCCCCTCCAGGATACACTGTCTACATTTGAAAGCCCAGAGTTCTGCCTCAGTCTGGGTGTCCCTAATCCAGGCAAACATCCCAGCATCTCTGGGTGGTCCTAGAGACTTTGCTCTGCCACCCTCATGGGACAGGCTGCCCATCTGTCCCCTGCTTCCCTCTGGGCGGTCCTAGTGCCACTTCACCACAGCCTCCAAGGGCCACAGACTTCTTGGGACCAGGGGGAGGCATGGGGGGTAGGAGAGAGGTCAGACTGGGCTCTAATTTCAGCTTTGCTACGTTGATCTCAAGCAAGTTCTTTCTCTTCCTCTGTTGCGTCCAACCTACCATTGTATTAGGAGGAATAGCAGACGTTCTAATGCTCTGGGTACAGGCACCTGTCTAAGTGCCTTACACTTTAACTCATTTTGTTCCCAGAACAGGTAGGAACTACTATTATCACCATTTTACAGATGGGAAAACTGAGTTAGGAAGAGCCCAAGTCACTGTCCAAGGTCATGCAGCAAGAAGTGGTGAGGCGGCATTTGAACCTGGGCCACCTGGTGCTGCCGCTGTGTAGGGAGGCCGCGCCAGAAGCCCGTGGGGTTAGGCAGAGCAGAGGTGAGGGTGCAGGGGGCTGTGCCTGGCACCCTGCTGGGGCGCAGGAGCCATGGAGGACCTCTGGCACGACCCCTGGTCCCCAGCACTCATGTCACTTCTTCCCTAGGACCTGTCTCTCCGCGTGACAGTGGCTGAAAGCAGCAGTGATGGCCATGGGGACAACGTGGGCCATGTCATCATCGGGCCATCAGCTAGTGGCATGGGCACCACACACTGGAACCAGATGCTGGCCACACTGCGCAGGCCCGTGTCCATGTGGCACCCTGTCCTGCGAAACTAGCAGCCAGGGCAAGGCCAGGGTGGGCACTGGAGCTGCCTGGAGCCTGGCGAAAGCTCAGGGGTGACACCCCTCTCCGTTGTCCAGCTGGAGCCATGATGCTGGGGTCCCCGGTGGACTCCCCATAAGCCATCTTGGTCCCCCTGTCGAGACTGCAGTGGAGAAGGGGCCCAGGTCTCCCACTGAGGGCCAGCTGTAGCTGGGCACTGACCACCCTTCTCCCATTTTGAGATCCCCAACAGGTCTGCCTCTCAGCCTGGGGTGCCCTTGGCTCTCAGAGCTCCTCATGTCCCACCCCAGCTGGGAGGCTAGCACCAAGCTGGGCCACTCACTGGAACAGAGCAAGTCTTGGGGGCCAGGCATTGTGACAGGCACCAGCAGGCATGACACGAACCAGATACAGACTGAAATGCCGGGAAGACAAGATCCCCTGTCTTGGTGATCTGCTCAGTGCTGACCGATGGCCCAGCCAGGCAGACTCGGGGAGCGCTCTGAGGGCTGGGGGACAACATGGGAGCTGTGGTTTGAGGGGCAGGGAAAGAATTGAGAGTGTCTCAGGTGGGCGGCCCAGCCTGAGCATGGCAGGGACATGAATTTCTCTGCACATAGTCCTCAGCCCACTGTGGGGGACACAAGGGCCTCTCTCTGGGCAGGAGAAGATACCCAAAGACCAGGCCAAGCAGAGGCCCACAGGCCACATGGGACTCTTGCTGCACAGCCATTCTCTGCAGCCTACTCCCTTGAACCACGACTCTTACAAGGCCCAGAGGTCCCAGGCATTGGCTCCACAGTGTTTGTTGGGGTCCCTTCAGGCCACGCCCTGTGGGGAAAAGAGATGTCTCAGCCTTGGGGGACTGCTGGGCTGTGGGGCGGCCAGAACACCGACTGTAGGGTGTCTGTGGTCAGGAGACCCTTGGGCTGGGCCTTGGAGGGAGGGGCAGCCTGAGCAGTGGCAGCAAAGGACAGTCAAGGGGGGTCAGGACGGACTGTGAGACTGTGAAGGAGGTGGCTGCGGAGCACAGTGTCCTAGGGCAGGTTCCCAAAGCAGACCCTGAGCCCAGGCTTCAAGGGCAAGGGTGTGTGGGGAGGGCTCTCAGGAGAAACCTGTGAGGGAGACAGAAACCCAGAAACCGGGGTAGCGAGCAAGTTGTGGCTTCAAGAGAGTCTAGTGCAGCCTGATGGGGAAGCTCAGAGTATGAGAGGCACCCCGGCGGGGTCCTGCCCAGATGCAAAGGGGCTGGGCTGTCACCCCCACACGCATTATCTTTGGCTTCTGCCCCACCCCCAGCTGGAGGAAGGGTCACCGGTGAAGGCGGCTCCCACCCACCAAAGGCAGCCCCAGAGAAGCAGGCAGCTGTGCACCCTTCACACCTGAGGGCCGGGTGCCCCTGCCGGTTCAAAGGGATGGGGCTGGGGCAGTATCTATAATATGTGGTCACCCGTGGGGAGCACATGGACTCTGGCTGCCTCTGGCCCTGGTGAGCCATGGAGACCCAGGCCCACCAGCCATCCCCACTGGTGTGGCTGGAGGGGGTGGCTGGAACACCGTGGGAGGCCCAGGACAGCATTGGGACTAGAGGCAGGACTGTGGCTCTCCCCACCTGGTCCAGCCATGGGCCTGCCCTGAGGCCAGGCTGCCTACCCAGTGGCCAGCACCAGGAGGTCTGCTTGGCCCAGGCCAGCATAGGGCCTGGGGACACACAGCTGGTGAGCCTCTGCAGCCTGGGAGACCCTGACTCTTCCTACCCCAGTGGCTGTGCAGTGCAGACCATGACTCCCCCTCCCCTCCTTTCCTTCCCTCTAACTGCATGACATGGTGACTGTGCACCTGGGATGGGCGTGGTGGGGACTGAGTATGCTGACTGGAATGATTCTAGAACCCAAATAAAGCTGGGGCAGGAAGGAGGGGGCTTCCGGGAGCCCTGCTCAGCCCGAATCGCGTTCTCTTCTTTAGAAGCCAGGGACTCAGGCCTCTGCCTGGGTTCCTATGAGCCCTCCTTCCCCTGCTGCTGGGCACCCAGAGCTTGGGGAGAGGGGAGGCAGTCTGGTTGGGGGGACCATGATAAGGACCAATGCCATCAGGCTGCTTGGGAAGCTCAGAGATGGGGCCCTAAGCCAGGCCCGGTGGGGAGGATGGCAGTAGGGAATATCAAGGAAGGCTTCCAGGTGGTGATGCTGACCTGAGTCTTGAGGGCAAGAAGTAGCATAAGGCCCAAAAGGGTGGATAAAGCCCAAAAGGCGTTCCTGGCAGGAGCGGACAAAAACTTGGCCAATGTGTCAAACTTGCTGGACAGGAAAAGTTTGGGGGAGAAGGGCTGTACAAGTCAGTGAGTGCTGGTGCCCAGCCTGCAACTCTGTAACACTTAGAGGTAGGTACTTGGTCATCTTTTTGCAGACAGAAAAACTAAAGCCTGGAGAGGTTAGGTAACTAGCCTAAGATCACACAGCCTAAAAGTCTTAGAGCTGGGATTCAAGCTCAGGCTCCAGAGCTCATGGTCTTAACCACTAAGCTACACTGCCCCCTCCCCAGCTCCTCAAGAGTGGGGCGAAGGGGAAACAGAGAAGCCCCTCTGGATCCCAGGCTCTTCTGGTTTCTACCTGCCCTCCCCTCCCCCGACCTCCCCTGAAGGATCACAGCGGGCATGGGAGGAGGAGGACCTGGGTGGACATTCCCAGCGTCGCCCAGGAGGCCCACCCGCTACAAGGCCTGGCTGTGAAGAGCTTCTGAGGAACGACTCTCCCAACACAGGGGAAACAGAGGTGATCAACGACACAGGCTGTTGCAGGAGCCCATGAAGGTTGACACCAGGGAAAGCTTTCCAGGGGAGATGGAAACCTGAGCTCTGGCTTTGCAGGGTGGGCAGATTGTACACATGGAGGAGGGAGAGGAGCCTCCAGGTCCTTGTCCTGCTGGCAGTGGGGAGCCACAGAAGAGCCCTGGGCAGAAGCAAGTCAGAAGGAGGGAGGCAGGAGGGGGAACACTCTAAGCATCTTTGGAAAGGAGCGACATCAGCAGGCTGCTCTGGGTCCGTGAGGGGCCGTCCGGGCTGCCTTTAGGTTTTAAGATCATTCAACAGGGCCCAGACCCAGCTGCTCCCATCTCTTCCAGCCCCTTCCTTCTCGTCTCCCACCTTCCCCCTGCTCCAATGCCAGGCCTATGGGCCGGCCGCAAAGGTCCCAGGCCCCCTCTGCGGAGCCTTCAACAACAGGCTGAGCACACCCAAGAAGACAGGTGTGGGAGGGTGCGGGCCTGGCCAGCGGCATTGGCCGGGCCGGGCCTGCATGTGGGGGAGTGGGACCAGCCAATTGACCGCCCACAGTCAACAGCAGCTCCAGACTTTCCTTCCTCTCTCCTGCCTGCGGTCGTCTGTGACTGCAGACACTGGAAGGGACGATCCAAAAGGCTAAATAAACACTAAGACTGGGTCACAGGGCTCCCCCGCTCTCCGCCCACTCCCACCCCATTATCAGCCTTCTCCTCCCACCCAGAAGGATCAGTAATGGGGAGGCAGGTAGAGGGGACCGGGAAGGTCCCCAGCCCTGGGTTCCAGTCAAGTGGCCGCTGGGGTTGAGTTGGTCTGGGGGAGCGTGACAGAAGAAAATTTGAGAGAAGAGGCCCTTGTGGGTTCTGCCTGCCATAGACCTAGGTCTGCTGCTTACTCACTGTGTGTCAAGTCCCTTCCCCTCGAGAGCCTCAGTTTCCCCACCTGAAGAATGAACATATTGGACAAGAAGTCCTCTAAAGGCCCCCATCCCTCTGACCTTTGGGGGTTCTGTGTGTAGAGGCCCTAGAGCCCCATTGCTTGGGTTAGAACCCTAGCTCCTCTGCTTATCAGCTGTGGGATCTTTGGGCCTCAGTTTTCTTGATTGTCAAAGAGTATAAGAATTATACCTCATAGGATGGAATAAAATGACACATGCCAAGTGTCTGGCCCACAGTAGGTGCTCAGTAAATGTGAGGTCAAGGCTTTGGGTGCAGTTCCAACTCTTGGGATTTGGTGTTTGGGAGGAAAGGTACCTAGGAGGTGTGAGGAGCAAATGTCCCCAGCCAAGTCATTGCAAGGGCAGGACCAGACCCTGAAGTTCCACAGCCCTGACACCCACTTTCCCTCTCCTTCCGCCATCCATAAACACCCCCACACCCCAAGCGAGGAACCCCAAGCCGGGCAGGTCCCTGTGGGTGATGACGGTGCAGGGCGCAAAGCCACCACACGGGGGCAGCAGAGGCTCGGCTGCAACAGCGGGGGCCCCGGGCCTCGGGAGGGTGGGG